TGCCTCGGCACTCCCGGGCGTGGCTGGGCAGGTGGTCGGGGCGACGCGCCCTGCCGAGCGGCAGTGAGCTTCTTCCGGGCCCGGGACGTCGGTGGAGGGAAACGTGGTTAGAGAGGTTGACGGACACCTCTGCTCTCCCCACTCAAAACCCCGCCCATGCGCTCTGAGACGGTATTATAGACACCAGATTCGAAGGATAGAGAGGAGCGCGTGAGAGTGTGGAGCACCGGAGTGTGTGCGGGGGAGGGGCTGGGCACGTACTGGGCGTGAACTCAGGGTCTTGCACTCTCGCTTGGCTTTTTTCACTCAAGTCCGGCGCTCCCCCACTTGAGCCACACCCCACTTTTGCTGGGGAGATGAAAGTAGGGACAACGTGGGCGTCCCACGTGAGAGGCTTTGGTGGTCTAGGATGGTAGCAAAGATGCTGCCCAAGTACTGTTGTGTTCAAGACTTAGGTTCGAGATAGGGCTGATGAAACTTGCTCTTGCACTGGTGGTGGTCCAAACGTTGAGGTAAAGAAAGAGAACAGAGAAGACTAACTTGCCTGGCGATGCTAGTATCTAGAATGAAGAGCTGAGGAGGAGCACGTTGCTCTGAGAATGGGGAAAGGAATAAGCAAAAACGGAAGTTTCGAAGTTTAATATCACACAGAAGTGTTGGGTAGTGAACACTGGGTGTGTATCAGTGGGAGGTCAGAGGTGGAATCACTATGGTTGTTTGGGACTAGGTAAAGTTATCCTTGAGAAATTGAGCTGGGAAGGGAACCAGATGAGGTCCTGAGGATAGGCTAAGAATTGTCCGAGATGAGGAAGAAAACCCAGTAGAGAAGAAGGAGGGCAATGTTGGAGGGTGATAGGTGATGTTCATTGTCACCTGCCCACGGAATGGAAATTATGCTACTTGCCAACCTTGGGGTACAGAAAATCTGTTATCAGATGGTGACTATGGCTGGGCACTAGTGGTTCATGCCTTTGATCCTAGCTACTCAGGAGACTGGGATCTGAGAATCCTGGTTTAAAGCCAGTTCAGGGAGACAGATCCATGAGACTCATCTCTAATTGACCAGTGAAAATAGGAATAGAGGTGCAGCTCAAGTGGTAACATGCCAGCCTTGAGTGAAAGCCAAGCAAGAGTGCAAGGCCCTGAGTTCAAATCCTAACACACACACACACACACACACACCAACACACACACATAGAGTTGACTGATTTGTTAACAGTACCACTGATTTATTATCCATTTTCAGCTGTTAGGCCATTTATTATCTGATCCTATTCTTTGTTTAAAAAAAAGTTAGCTGAGCATAATGATGTACCCTTTAATTCCAGCATTTGGGAGGAGGCTGAAGCAGAAGGATCACAAGTTCAAGACCAGTCAGGGCCATATAGTGATACCCTGCCTCAAAACAAATAGGAGCAACAACAACAAATGCATATCTATGATATCTATCCATTTACTAAACTTGCTCTTTTTAGTTTTTTACTTTAGAAAATTTATTAAAAGCTTATTATAAAGGTAATGTACAGAGTGGTTACAGTTACATAAGCCAGGTAAAGAGTACATTTCTTTTTGGATAATGTCATACCTTCTCTCTACCTTAGAAATTTTAAGTAGATGCAGCTATTTCATATATGAGTTATAACTTACATGAAACTGCATTTCCTTAGTTAGTTGGATAAATTAGTTTTCAAAAAATTTATTGTCAGCCGGGTGCTGGTGGCTCATGCCTATAATCCTAGCTACTCAGGAGGCTGAGATCTGAGGATCGAGGTTCAAAGCCAGTCCAGGCAGGAAAGTTCGTGAGACTCTTATCTCCAATGAACTGCTAGAAAACCAGAAGTGGTGCTGTGGCTCAAGCGGTAGAGCGCTCGCCTTGAGCTGAAGAGCACAAGGACAGCACCTAAGCCCAGAGTTCAAGCCCCACGACTGACAAAAAAAAATTACTGTCCAATATATGTAAATATATGAAAGAAAAAAGAACTCCAGAAAGTAGTTTAGCAGTGGTGTTAAGATCATAGAATATTTTTACCTCCCTACTATCTACTCCTATACTTGAATTCTGTAATATGAGCATGTGCTTTTGCAAGCAGAAAATAATTTAGGTAAATTGTTTCAAAATGAAATCTTTTGGTTTTCTTTAAGTGGCTTTCTGACAGAAAGAAGAGAGCGCTGCAGAAGAAGGATGTGGGTGAGTGCTAATTGGTTTTTCCTGCTCCAGATACATTAATTGTCCTTGTTATGTTGCTGTCGCACATCTAGTGTTACCATGTATGAGGTGTGTATCATATACAGTGTAATTAATATGTGGGAAATGAGCACTTTTGCTCTTTTTCTTATTAAGAACCCTTTTGTTGTGGTTGATATATTCCTGGTGGGTGTGGAATGGTGATTTTTACCTTAGTTATCAGCTAATGTGTTAGACTTCTACTTTTTCAGAATGACAACAAGGCCTCCTGGGTTAAAGACAAGAACTTTATTACTTGTGGCATAGTATAAATGGCATGAGTGTAGTGTATTTGTTCCAGTTGCTCCTGGAGTCTCATGGGACACTCAGCATGCCCAGAAAGCTGCTGTGTTCACCATGGTTTGTGTTGTAGCTGAGGAGCCCTGACCCAGGAAGTCCACTGCTTTTGTAACAGGCAGTAAGCAAAGCAAGCAGGCTTGCTCTTTACCATAGGCTTGCTCATCCATCAAAGTTTGCAACTGCGTAACTAAAGTGAGAAATGGTTCAGGTAAAAGAACGTCCAGGGCCTTACAGTCTTAATACACCCAGCCAGATGTGTGGGAATACAAGAAGTCTGAGAAGAACTGTTTCTGCCAATGATCTGTAATTGCTTTTGTTATTTATAACAGTTCTGGGGTTTGAACTCAGGGCTTTGTACTTGCTAGAATATTTTTTGTTCTTAAAAAGTAAAAAGATAATATTGTATTAGTTGGCTTTCCATTACTGTATCAAAAACCCTGAGATGATAAATTTAAAGAGGAAAGATTTGACTCACAGTTTTAGAAGTTTCAATCCATAATCACTTGGCCCTGTTGCTTTCGGGCTTGTGACATGGCAGGAGTACATGGTGGAGGGAGCTACTTACCACCTAGCAGCTGTGAAACAAGAGGAAGAAACCAATATCTCATATTTGCTTTTAGAGCGTGCTTCTAATGACTTAAGACCTCCCCCTTGGCCCTATCTCTCGAAGATTCTACTGCCTCCCACTGATACCATGGGTTGGGAACCAGAACTTTAACACATTCTCCAAACCTAAACATAGGAAACAAACAAACAAACCTTGCTGCTTACTGGGTGAACTGTACCTGTGACCTTTCTCAAGTCGTGGGAGCCTTTTGCATGTATATTACTTGTTTGTAATTACTATGACTGATATGCTTTGTTCTGTGATAAATATGTTAAACATGTTATTTTTTTCTCACTTTGTAGATGTCCGCAGGAGAATTGAACTTATTCAGGATTTTGAAATGCCCACAGTGTGTACCACTATTAAGGTGTCAAAAGATGGCCAGTATATTCTAGCAACTGGTAAGTGCTTCTAGCTTATGGTTCCATACATTTCATAGCCAGAAATGCTGTGGAGGGAAAGGTCATTACTTCTACCCTGATATTTTATATAAATTCTAACCAAATCCTGAAAAGTAAACAAATACTGAAAAAATTATACATTTATTTACCACCTTGATTCTGCATAGTTTACTATATTTGCTTTATTATATAATCTGTTGATCTTTCTTTCCATCTGTTCAACAGTACATGATGTTTTCTGATGGATTTAAGAGCAAGATGGTAGATACCAACTTTTTGTTGTTTGATTTTTTTTTTGAGATATGACCTTACTACGTAGGCCCTGCTGAACTCACATACATGATCTTTCTGCCTCAGTTTCCCAAGTACTGGGATTGCTGGCATGCATAACCATACCTGGCTTCATTTGATAGTTTTAACAAACGTACATGTTTGTGTAGCCCAAATTCCTCTCACAATACAGAACATTTCTTTTTTCTCTTCTTTTTTTTTTGGCCTATTCTAGGTCTTAAACTCAGGGTCTGGGCGCTGTCCCTAAGCTTCTTTTACTCAAGGCTAGTGCTCTATATTTGAGCCACAGCTCCACTTCCTGCTATTTCTGAGGTTTTTTTGTTTTGTTTTGTTTTTGGTCGGTTCTGGGGCTTGAACTCTGGGCCTAGGCGCTGTGCCTCAGCTCTTCAGCTCAAGGCTAGCACTCTACCACTTGAGCCACAGCCCCACTTCCAGTTTTCTGAGTGGTTTATTGGATTTAAGAGACTTTCCTATCTAGGCTGGCTTTGAACTGTGATCCTCAGATCTCAGCCTCCTGAATAGCTAGGATTACAGGTGTGAGTCACCAGCACCCAGCTGTTTCTGGGTATTTTATGGATATAAAAGTGTCATAAAGTTTCCTTCCCAAGCTGGCGATAACCATAATTCTCAGGTTGTAGCCTCTTGAATAGGATTAGTGCCCAGCTTCAGATTTGTTTTCACCCAGAAAACTCCCACATGCTCTTTAGCAGTTCCTGCAACCAGAGACAGCTATTAACTGGCTTTTCTCCTTACCAGAAAGCTTAACTGAGGGCCTGGGCACTGTACATGAGCTTCTTTTGCTCAAAGCTAGAGCTCTATCACTTGAGCCACAGCACCACTTCTGGCTTTTTTTGTTTATGTGGTACTGAGGAATTGAACCCAGGACTTTATACATGCTAGGCAAGCACTCTACCATTGAGCCACATTCCCAGCCCTATGTATCCTTTTTTTCTTTTTTTGTCCCTTTTGAGGCCTAAATTCTGGGCGTGGGCACTGACTCTGAGCTCTTCAGCTCAAGGCTAGTACTCTACCAGTTGAGCCATAGCGCCACTTCCAGCTTTTTCTGCTTATGTGGTGCTGAGGAATTGACCCAGGGCCTCATGCTTGTAAGGCAAGCGCTCTACCACTGAGCCACCCTCCCAGCCCCTATGTATCCTTTTGTACAAGACTTTTTCACCTACAGTTTGAGATTCAGGCATCAATGTCTTTTTCTTAAAATACAAAAATGATACTCTTATCATGTATAAACTGTAATTCTTTATTTAATGGATGTTTGGGTTATCTTAAAATTTGGGCTCTTAGACAACGCCCAGACCCAGAGTTCAGGCCCCACAACAGGCCAAAAAAAAAAAATTGGACTATTATTAAGCACTATGTACAATTAAGTCTGGTTACTGGATTATGCTCTGGTCTTCAGTAAATATCTAGGAGTGGGATTGCTCAGCTGTTAAGTAGATGTCTGTTTACCTTTATAGGAAACTTCTAGGTCTTTTTCCAGATTGGTTACCATTTACAGTTCCACCATCAGGGAAGAAGGATTCCAGGAAAGGTCAGATTTTTTGGTGACAGTACTGGGGCTTGAACTCAGGTCCTCATGCTGTTGTTTAGCTTTTTTGTTCAAAGCTGGTGCTCTATCTCACTTGCTTTTTGCTGTTTACTTGAAGATTAATAGTACCTTTGATTTGTCTGCCTGGACTGGCTTTGAACTGAGATCCTCAGATCTTAGCTTCCTGAGTAGCCAAAAGCACCGAGTTTCAGGAAAGCTCACTTTCAACATGATTATCTGTATCATACATTAGTATTTTTTTCTGTCATTAAAATTTTATGGCCTAGCACCAGTGGCTCACGCCTGTAATCCTAGCTACTCTGGAGGCTGAGATTAGAGGATTACGGTTCAAAGCCAGCTGGGGCAGGAAAGTCTGTGAGACTTTTATCTCCAATAAACCACTAGAAAGGGCTGGGAAGGTGGCTCAGTGGTAGAGCACTTGCCTTGCATGCATGAGGCCCTGGGTTCAATTCCTCAGCACCACATAAGCAAAAAGAAAAAAGCTGGAAGTGGCGCTGTGGCTCAAGTGGTAGTGCTAGCCTTAAGCTGAAGAGCTGAGGGACAGCTCCCAGGCTAGAGTTCAGGCCCACGACCGGACCCCCCCCCCCAAAAAAAAATAAACCACTAGAAAACCGGAAGTGGTGCTATGGCTCAAGCAGTAGAGCACTAGCCTTGAGCTGAAAAGCGCAGGGACAGCACCCGAGCCCAGAGTTCAATCCCCATGACTGACAAAAAAAAAAAAATTATGGAACATGGATTCATAGATTTTTAGCAATAAAACTTTTTGCTGGTTTAACAACGTATTTAGACTCCTTTTCCAGCCACCTTCTCTCAGCATCTTTATGTTTACTTAAGTAAAGGCCAATCTCCTGCTCCTCCTCCTCGTCCTCCTCCTCCTCTTCCTCCTCCTCTTCGTCCTCCTCCTCCTCCCCCCTGCCCCTTATTGTTGTTGGGGCTTGAATTCTGGGCCTGGGCACTGTCCTTCAGCTCAAGGCTAGTCCTCTACCACTTGAGCCACAGCACACTTCTGGTTTTCTGGTGGTTCATTGGAGATAAGAATCTCACAAAGCCGGGCGCTGGTGGCTCAGGCCTGTAATCCTAGCTACTTAGGAGGCTCAGATCTGAGGATCATGGTTCAAAGCCAGCCCGGGCACAAAAGTCTGTGAAACTCTTCTCTCCAATAAACCATCAGAAAACTGGAAGTAGTGCTGTAGCTCAGCTGGTAGAGCACTAGCCTTGAGCTGAAGAGCTGAGGGACAGTGCCCAGGCCCAGAGTTCAAGCCCTATGACCGACAAAAAAAAAAAGAATCTCACAGATTTTCCTACCTGGGCTGGCTTTGAACCACAACCCTCAGATCTCAGCCTCCTGAGTAGCTAGGAGCCATAGGTTCCTGCCTCCATAATGTTTCCTTTTATGGACTTACTCTTGTTTTTTTGAGCCTTTCCTTATTTTTGGACATTTTACTTGCTTTTGGTTTCCAGCTATTTATGAGCAAATGCTTCAGCAGACATTCTTTTTTTTGTCAGTCATGGGGCCTGAACTCTGGGCCTGAGCACTGTCCCTCAGCTCTTCAGCTCAAGGCTAGCGCCCTACCACTTGAGCCAAAGCGCCACTTCCAGCTTTTTCTGCTTATGTGGTGCTGAGGAATCGAACCCAGGGCCTCATGCAAGCCAAGCACTCTACCACTGAGCCACCTTCCCAGCCCCAGCAGACATTCTTTTTATGTTTGACATTCTAGATCCAATATGTATAAATTAAAATTGGCTTCAAGGTATATAAATACAGTGTTCTTCACATATCAGACTATCTGCAGAAGTCATATGCATTTATACTAATGAGCAACAGTATAGAAAAGTAATTTTAGGGGCTAGGAATGTGGCTTAGTAGTAGAGTGCTTGCTTAGCATGCATGAAGCCCAGTACCACATAAACAGACAAGGCCAGAAGTAGCTCTGTAGCTCAACTGATAGAGCACTAACCTTGAGCAAAAACAAGCTCAGGACAGTACCCACACCCTGAGTTTAAGCCCCAGGACTGGCCAAAAAAAAAAAAAAGTAATTTTAACTCTCTCACCAACACAGATATAAATGTTCTTTCTTTTTCATCTTTGACCTTCTGATGAACAAAAGTTATTTCATGTGTTTTCTCTCTACTTTTGTTAGATTATAAGGATTATTAGGGTTTTTTTTTTTTTTTGCACATCTCATTTTCTATGACTACTCTTTTTTCCTTGGGATATTTGAGAGAGACTGCTTTGAAAGTCCTTTGGCTTGGTTATAATTAGTCCTACTTACCTCTGAACAAAAAATAAGCTCAACTGTGCTGCAAGATACTAACTGTGAAGAGTGTATCTTTAACTTAAACATTACATTAATTTTTTAATAGGGACATATAAACCCCGTGTTCGTTGTTATGACACCTATCAATTATCCTTGAAGTTTGAGAGATGTTTAGATTCAGAAGGTAAGAGACTAACTTTGAATTCATAACAATAGCTTTTGATGTTTCTCCTTAGTTTTTTAAAATTGGAATGAGTTGTGTATCCATGTCCTATTATTGAATCATAAATTTGTATAAACATGGTGTCTGAAAGGTAGCATCCATTTAGCAGCTCACTGTTGGATAGGCCCTACTGTGTGCTCTGCTATGCTCAAGGCTAACCACACACTATGGCCTGGTGGGGCTCTTGTCTATAAGTTTGACCAGGAACCTGCTTCTAGTCTCATGCAGTTTGTTGGCAGAATTCAGTTTGTAGTGGCTGTGGGATTTGGACATCTTAGGCTTGTTGGCTGTCAGCAGGGGGCCACTTGGCTTTTTGAGGCTATCTACTCTATCTGAGCTGGAGAAACTTCTGTTGCTTTTAAGCAGCTCATAGGATTACAAACTTCTCCTTTGCCATTTAATGTAATGGACATAGGAGCAGTGTCTTCACATGCTCTCACAACGGGGCTCTGAAAGGTTGAAGTCACTGTGAGTCATTCTCAGGATTCTGCCTAGCACAGAGGGCAAGTTAAAATGAGAAGTTCAACTTTTACCATTTGCCCTTGTGTTTGGAATTCAGGCAAAAGAAATTAGTGTATAGCACTAAGAAGAGTACATTCTCCAGGCTTGTCTTACCCTTTGCTCTTGAAAACAGTGAAACTTTATACCCCTAATAAACAGCTGTTTTCACTCATTTTTGTTTGGCAGGTAAGCTGAATAGGCAAAAAATTACCATGGCCTGTCTTAATCAACATTTGAAAAAATATTCTTAGAGTTTACTTGAAAGTCCTGAAATTATTTTTGAACTTGTCCTTCATCTTTTTTTCTTTTTTTGGCAGTCCTAGGGCTGAAACTCAGGGCCTGGGCACTGTTCCTGAGCTTCTTTTTGCTCAAGGCTAGTATTCTACCACCTGAGCCACAGCACCATTTCCAGCTTTTTGTTGATGTGACACTGAGGAATTGAACCCAGGGCTTCATGCATGCGAGGCAAGCACTCTATCACTAGGCCACATTCCCAGCCCTGAACTTGTCCTTAAGACAGTGTCAAAATTAGAAGTCATATTTTGTGAATTTGCTTCAGTTGTATAAATATTTTAGATATCTGTGTTGAGAAATGAAAACATTCAACTTTTCAGTTAGTATTTTGAGGGCAGTATGACGTTCCTGTTGTGAGGCAAGGAAAAAAATTGTAAAATATTTCTGGGTTGAATTAGAATCTTTGCTTAAGAACATTGATGATTGCTTTTTCCTTTTATTACTTTTCAGTTGTCACCTTTGAAATTTTGTCTGATGACTATTCAAAGGTATGTATGAAAACTTTTATTTTGCTTGCTATGCAAGAAATGAATGGAGCTTATTTTTATAATACATATTTTATGATGTTCCCATTGCTATATTAAGAATGGTTCTTTCCACTGATAGGTTTTCAGCTTGGTATACTATACATATGCTATGTATCTTCTAGAATAGCATTGGTTAGAGGGAGCTTATGGTCATTCTAATATGAAAGTCAGTTCTCTATCACACATGAAACGTTAGCTATATTTTTAAGAATTAGTAGTAGTCATCTTTTTTTTTTTGTCAGTCCTGGGGCTTGAACTCAGGGCCTGGGCGCTGTCCCTCAGCTCTTCATCTCAAGGCTAGCACTCTACCACTTGAGCCACAGTGCCATTACTGGCTTTTTCTTTTCTTTTCTTTTTTTTTTGTTGGTCGTGGGGCTTGAACTCTGGGCTTGGGCACTGTTCCTGTGCTCTTCAGCTCAAGGCAAGTGCTCTACCACTTGAGCCACAGCGCCACTTCTAGTTTTCTAGTGGTTTATTGGAGATAAGAGTCTCATGGTCTTTCCTGCCTGGTCTGGCTTTGAACCGCAATCCTCAGATCTCAGCCTCCTGAGTAGCTAGGATTACAGGCCACTGGTGGTCAGCTTACTGGCTTTTTCTGTTTATGTGATGATACTGAGGAATTGAACCCAGGGCTTCATGCATGCTAGGCAAGCACTCTAACACTAAGCCACATTCCCAGCCTTACTTTTCTTAATCCAGGAAGAGGTTGTGTTATATGCTGATACAGTTTAGAACCCAGGTACACAGATTTCTAAATTTCAGTTCTTACAGTTACTTTCAGCAGTACAAAATTGTCAGCAGAGTCCTTACTTAATTTAAATGAGAAAAAAAATTTTTTGGAGGGGGGGGTCAGGTCGTGGGGCCTGAACTCTGGGCTTGAGCGCTATCCATCAGCTCTTCAGCTCAAGGCTAGAGCTCTACCATTTGAGCCACAATGCCACTTCCGGCTTTTTTCTTTTTGCTTATGTGGTGCTGAGGAATCGAACCCAGGACCTCAGGCATGCAAGGCAAGCGCTCTACCACTGAGCCACCTTCCCAGACCTAAAATGAAAATTTTTATTTAGCATTGTTATCCTATGCTTTTATGTACCTATTAACATAAAGTTAACCAAATAAAATGTTTTTTTTTTTTGGTCCAATCGTGGGGCCTGAACTCTGGGCCTAGGCGCCGTCCCTCAGCCCTTCAGCTCAAGGCTAGTACTCTATCACTTGAGCCACAGTGCTACTTCCAGCTTCTTTTTTTTTTTCTGCTTATGTGGTGCTGAGGAATCGAACCCAGGGCCTCATGCATGCAAGGCAAGCACTCTACCACTGAGCCACCTTCCCAGCCCATAAAATGGTTTTTTAATGAGGACTTGTTATCTTGAAGAAACAAATGAATTTACTTAGCTGACATACTTTTATATATTATCTTTAGTCATGGAAACTCAGGTTCATTTTATCTCTTGGTCTATAGTAGCCATTTATCATGTGTTGGGGACATGTCACTTTAAAATACATTTTCTCAAATGTTGATAAATTTGCATTTAATTACATATACAGGTTTTTCCAGATACTTTTGTAGTACCTTAAAACCAGATTTACTCAAGTTGTTTATAAAACCCTGTGTGAAGCCAGGCGCTGATGGCTCATGCCTGTAATCCTAGCTACTCAGGAGGCTGAGATCTGAGGATCGAGGTTCAAAGCCAGCCCGGGCAGGAGAGACCGTGAGACTCCTCTCCAATAAACCACCAGAAAACCGGAAGTGGCGCTGTAGCTCAAGTGGTAGAGCGCTCGCCTTGAGCTTAAGAGCTGAAGGACAGCGCCCAGGCCCAGAGTTCAAGCCCCACGACCGACAAAAAAAAAACCCTGTGTGAAGGGCTGGAAAGGTGGCTCGGTGGTAGAGTGCTTGCCTTGCATGCATGAGGCCCTGGGTTTGATTCCTCAGCACCACATAAGCAGAAAAAAATCTGAAAATGGTGCTATGACTCAAGGGGTATAGAGCTAGCCTTGAGCTGAAGAGCTGAGGGACAGCACCCAGGCCCAGAGTTCAGGCCCCACGACTGGCTAAAAACAAAACAAAGCAAAACAAAAAAACCTGTTTGAAAATTGAGAGATTATTAAAATGTATCCATAAGTAAAATAGGAAATTGCTTATTGAGGTCTCAATACAGTGCTGTATGTTATACGAGTGCTGGTTTTAATTCTCTTAGTTAACAAACAGGTTTGCAGGAAAACCATCAGGATGCAGGAAGGCATTAAGGAATCAACGAAGAATGTCAATCTCTCCCAGTAGACAGAGAGCACACATGTGTTTTTGGACAGAGAAAAGTGAAAGAGATCAGAGTTTTCTTGCTGTGCTAGTTGAATGAATGATGATGAAATAAACACTATACCTGGAAACCTTAGCAAACATTCTCTTTTTATTTTCAGATTGTCTTCTTACATAATGACAGATACATTGAATTTCATTCACAATCAGGATTTTACTATAAAACCAGAATACCAAAGTTTGGAAGAGATTTCTCTTATCACTATCCATCCTGTGACCTGTACTTCGTTGGCGCAAGGTATTGGATCTAATTGCTTTGCTTTCCCTTTTCTACCTGACATATAACCGACTTATTAAATTACTTGTATATTTTCTCTATGTAAAGCTCTGGGATGGATAAAGTATGATTATTACAAAATAAAACTTTGAAACATGGAATAATAAAAAAAAAAATCCAAAGGGCTAGAGGCATGGCTCAGTGGTAGAGTTCCTGCCTAACAGTAATAGCCCTGAGTTCAAATCCTGGTACTGCCAAAAAAATGAAAAGCATTAGCTACTTGTGAGGCTGAGATTGGGAAGATCTTGGTTCAAGGATCTGAGCAAGGGTTCCTCAGACCTCATTTCAATAACCAATAGAAAACTGGACAAGACTGGGAAAGAGAAAGGGAAGGGGTGATTTTATCCAAAAATTAATGTACTCATTACCTGACTTATGTAACTGTACCCCTTTTATATCACCTTTATAATAACAATAAAAATATATATTAAAATATATGACCCCCCCCCAAAAAAAGAAAATGCTGGACATGGTAGCATGCTCTTATCATTTTAAGCTATGTGGAAAGCTTAAATAGGAGGATCATGGTCAAGGCTGGCCTGACCAAAAAGCAAGGCCTAATTTGAAAAATTATGAAAACAAAAAGAGGTTGAAGCATGACTCATGTGGTAGAGTGCCTCTAGCAAGCTCAAGGCTATAAGTTTAAACCCTAGTATATCCTTCTCAGGAAAAAGTCCAATATTTTATGTACTGATAATATTGTCCATGGTATCATTATTCTGTTTATTTTGCATAATATTTTTAACATTAAAAATGCTAGGGCTGGGAAGGTGGTTCAGTAATAGAGCGCTTGCCTTGCATGCATGAGGCCCTGGGTTCAATTCCTCAGCACCACAGAAGCAAAAAGAAAAAAGCTGGAAGTGGTGCTGTGGCTCAAGTGGTAGAGTGCTAGCCTTGAGCTGAAGAGCTGAAGGACAGCGCCCAGGCCCAGAGTTCAGGCCCCAGGACCGGACCCCCCCTCCAAAAATAAATGTTTATGATGCTTACATATCAGATGGTTAAGCCAAAAAATAATGATGGGAAATATTCAGGTGTGTACAGCTGAGCTTTGGTGCTAAAGGCACTCTGCCACTTGAGCCACAGCTCCACTTCTGACTTTTTGGTGATTAATGATTTGAGTCTCACAGACTTTTCTGCCCAGACTGACTTCAAATTGGGATCTCCAGATCACTACCTCCTGAGTAGCTAGGATTATAGGCGTGAGCTATCAGTGTTCAGCCTGAAATTTTATTCTGTTTTTTTTTTTTGTTGTTGTTGTTGGTTGTGGGGCTTGAACTCTGGGCTTGGGCGCTGTCCCTGCTCTCTTCAGCTCAAGGTGATCTCAAGGCATAGCACCACTTCCTGAAATTTTATTTTTAAGTGCTGCCTTTTATGTAAATGTAAAAACAGCATAACCATTTTAGAAAATTAAGGGGTGGAGGAGAATGCAGTCAAGAATTCAGGGTATATCCTGCAACATTAAGAAAAGTGGTAGAAGGAATGGATTGGGAGGGATGGGTGAAAACGTTGACACTGATTAAGAGACACACTATATTCATAAACTGCTTTGTTAAATGGCAAATCCTTTGTACAACTACTTAAAGATAATAAAATTTAAAAGAAATGAAAAAACATAGAGCAGTATTGAAGCCCATAATTATGCCACCCAGAGGAAAGCCTTATTAAATACCGTCCTTCTAGTCTTTTCTAACATACATAATAGGTACATGAAATATACTTTGGGATCTTGCATTCTCCATAGTTTAAAATATCCTGCTTAGAGACATCATAGTATTTCTTTGGCACGTGTGTGGTTTATTGTACATTTATGTAGAAAAAATTCATAACTAATGTATTTTAGGTTTAAATGGATTTATATATCAATCTTAAAAAGGGACTATGACATACATCTGTATATTTTTAAAGTTCACACTTAAAGAGAACTTCTTCATAGTTTCTCATATTTTGGCTTTGTTACTTTGCAGCTCTGAAGTTTATAGATTAAACTTAGAACAAGGACGGTACCTGAATCCTCTACAAACTGATGCTGCGTAAGTATTGTGCAAAACTGCTCTGTTTATTTTGGCCAGGAGGTGGAGCTAGATGTTCAAATTGTTACCACATAACAACAGTGTAGGTGTGGCTCAAATGGTAGGAGCCCATACGTAGCAAGTGTGAGACCCTGAGTTTAAACCCCAGTACTGGCAAAAAACAAAACAAAAAATTTGGGGCTGGGAAGGTGGCTCATTGGTAGAGCACTTGCCTTGCATGCATGAGGCCCTGGGTTCAATTCCTCAGCACCACATAAGCAAAAAGAAAAAAGCCGGAAGTTGTGCTGTGGCTCAAGTGGTAGAGTGCTAGCCTTGAGCTGAAGAGCTGAGGGACAGCGCCCAGGCCCAGAGTTCAGGCCCCACGTTAACAACCACCTCCTCCCCCCCAAAATATGATTGTATGTGAGCAGCAGTCTGGGCAGTTAAAAGATTACCATTAAAAAAACAGAATAGGGGCTAGGAAGGTGGCTCAGTGGTAGAACGCTTGCCTTGCATGCCTGAGGCTCTGGGTTCGATTCCTCCGCACCACATAAGCAAAAAGAAAAAAAGCTGGAAGTGGTGCTGTGGCTCAAGTGGTAGAGTGCCTTGAGCTGAAGAGCCGAGGGACAGTGTCCAGGCCCAGAGTTCAGGCCCCATGACCGGACCCAAAAAAAAAAAAAAACCAGAATAATGAGGGCTGGGAAGGTGGCTCAGTGGTAGAGTGCTTGCCTTGCATGCATGAGGCCCTGGGTTCAATTCCTCAACGCCACATAAGCAGAAAAAAGCCGGAAGTGGCACTGTGGCTCAAGTGGTAGAGTGCCACCCTCGAGCAGAATAGCTCAGGGATAGTGCTCAGGCCCAGAGTTCAGGCCCCACGAATCGAAATACATTGACAGTGATGTTAAGAGTTAACCTGTGCTTACAAGAAAAGGTACTGTTAAAATTTCAAACAGGGCTGGAAGTGTGCTCAGTGGTAAAGTGCTGTTTGGTGTGCATGAGGGCTTAGTTTACCATCAGCATAAGTGAAAGAGTGAATGGATTATTTCTTTAAAAACTCACTGAAAGACCTGTTGATTTCTTTTTCTTTCTTTCTTTTTTTGTTGTTCTTGTTGGTCAAGGGGCTTGAACTCAGGGCCTTGGTGCTGTCCCTGAGATTTTTCATTAAAGGGTAGTGTTTTACCACTTTGAGCCACTTCCAATTTTCTGGTAATTAATTGGAGATAAGAGTCTCAAGGACTTTCCTGCCTGGGCTAGCTTTGAACTGCAATCCTCAGATCTCAGCCTCCTGAGTTGGATTTCAGATGTGAGCCACCAGCACCAGGTGACCTATTGATTTCTTAGGTTTTTTCTTTTCTTTTCTTTTTTTTGGTCAGTCATGACACTTGAACTCTGGGCCTGGACACTGTCCCTCAGCTCTTCAGCTCAAGGCAAGCACTCTACCACTTGAGCCACAGCGTCAACTTCCAGCTTTTTCTGAGTGGTTTATTGGAGATAAGAGTCTCACAGTCTTTCCTGCCCAGGCTGGCTTTGAACCACGATCCTTAGATCTCAGCCTCCTGAGTAGCTAGGATTACAGGTGTGAGCCACCAGTGCCTGGCTGCTCCTTAAGAATTTTAATTCTCACTTTAAAAATTTCGGTAACAAGGGGGCTGGGAAGTTGGCTCAGTGGTAGAGTGCTTGCCTTGCATGCATGAGGCCCTGGGTTCGATTCCTCAGCAGCACATAAGCAGAATAAAGCCAGAAGTGGTGCTGTGGCTCAAGTGGTAGGGCACTAGCCTGAAGCTGAAGAGCTGGGGGACAGCACCCAGGCCCAGAGTTCAGGCCCCATGATCGACCAAAAAAAAAACCAAAAAAACTTCTAGAACAGACTTTTTCAAAACCCAATTTATTGTTGTTTTCAGTATTTTTATTTATGGTCTTATTTTATGGCATCTTCTTCCTGTAGAAAATATTGAATGAATAAAACTGCCGTTTTTTAGTTTTTTAATTAATTTGCTTATTTTTAGATGGTCCTGGGGCTTGAACTCAGGGCCTGGGCTCTGTCCTTGGGCTTTTTTCTGCTCACAACTAGCACTCTACCACTAGAACCACAGTTCCACTTCTGGCTTTTAGTGATTAATTAGAAATGAAGCTCACAAACTTCCCTGCCTCAGCTTCAAACTACAATCGTCAGATCTCTACCTTCTGAGTAGCTAGGATTACAGGTGTGAGCCACTGATGCCTGGCATTATTTTTTTCTTATTGTTATACATTATAAGCTATACTTAAGCTTTTATTCAAAAAGGAATTTTTTTTTGGTAGTTTTGGGATTTGAACTCAGGGCCTTACTCTTGCTAGGGCAGGTACTCTGCTGGCTGAGCCAAGCCCTCAGCCCTGTTGCCACCACCATCATCATCAATCATCATTGTCATCGTCATCATTCTCATAAGTGATCACAAGAGCACTCGACACGTGCCAGGCATTCTCAGCCCTTTCACACATCTAAGCTCATGGGAAACAGTGGATTTTGTGCTGGGTCCTAGTACCTTGCTTGTCCTTTTCACGAAATGGGCAGTCATATGAGTGGATTGCATGGGCCATGAAACTCATCAAGGGTGGAGGCTAGATCACTTTCATTCTGATGCATACAGAGCCTAGAGAATTTGGCTGTTGTGAGAGGATTTTTAAAGCTTAGAAGAACTTATAGTTATTAAAAGCAGTAAGCAAGATACTTTTGTCACATTGACAAACAAAACCTTTTAACTTCACAATACTGTTGTATGACAGGTTATCTGCTCTTTAGTTGTATATTTGTTTATAACAACAGCTATTTATTTTGTGTCTTTTATATTCTGAACACTGCAGAACATTTTGAGGGTTTTTTTTGTTTTTTAATCCTCACAGTAATCTAATAACATAGATGAAATTCCCACCTCACAAAGAAAGGAATGAGACTTAGTTGTCCTCTCGGATCTCAAGTCTGCTGATGACAGAGATAGCCTGAGAATGGGACCTTGCCTTGGGATAACGTGGAATGATGCTTTTTTCTCATTGTGCTGGAATAGTATTTCTGAAGAAGGCCTTCCTTGTTTTTCACATGGCAGGTAGCGTGTAACCTGGGATCAGAAATTCTGATGGCTGGGGCTAGGAAGATGGCTCAGTGGTAGAGCGTTTGCCTTGCATGCCTGAGGCCCTGGGTTCGATTCCTCAGCACCACATAAGTAAAATGAAAAAAGCCAGAAGTGGCGCTGTGGCTCAAGTGTTAGAGCGCTAGCCTTGAGCTGAAGAGCTGAAGGACAGCGCCCAGGCCCAGAGTTCAGGCCCCACGACCGGATCCCCCCCCCCAAAAAAAAGAAAGAAATTCTGATGGCTATGAGCCACACAACTAATTGCTTCATGCTTTGCTGCTTTTCATTTGCAGATGAATGAGAGACAGTCTGTGTTTCATCACTCCAGAATTTTTATTGATTATTCTAGAAAGTTTATTAAATACTTCCTTTCCCACAAGTAGATGCTAACCAATCTTTTGTCCTTTACTGATTTAGAGAGAATAATGTTTGTGACATAAATTCAGCGCATGGCTTATTTGCCACTGGAACAATAGAGGTAAGCCTAGACTGATACTGCTTCTAAATACATGTTTCACATTTGATAGTGCGTGGAATTTTTATTGAGACAGGCGTGATTGATTCCTTAGAGCAGGAAGGTAATGAAGAACTGGTTTCTTGTTTGCTTTTTGCATTTTTTTCCCTACAGGCTTGTGATCTATCACTATAACCACAGCACACTTCCTGCTAAGAAAATGTATTATTATTAGTGTAACCATTTATAATACCATTATCATTACTGAGAAAATTTATTATTTTGAGTAGATCCATTCATAATACCATTATCACTAAGAGAATTATTATTATTTATTCATTTTCTGTCAGTTGCGGGACTTGAATTCAGGGCCTGGGTGCTGTCCCTGAGCTCTTTTGATCTAGGCTAGCACTCTCCCACTCTGAGTCACAGCTCTACTTCATGTTTTCTGGTTAATGGAGATAAGTGTCTCACAAGGTCTTTTCTGCCTGGGCTGGCTTTGAACTGCAATCCTCAGATCTCAGCCTCGTGAGTAGCTAGGACTACAGAGGTGAGCCACCAGTGCCCAGATTAAGAAAATTTATTATTAGTACAACAGTATTGTATTTGATATTGATTTGATACTTCTGTGTTTAAGTTGTCCCATTTATATCAATGTTGTTCAGTCCCTTCTAGTCAGGATCATGTGGAATATTTTGGAGCTTTTCCTTGCCAGTATTTTCCTTTGTTAATTATAAAAGAAAATCAGCTTATAGTAAAACATTGTAAACAGTGCCTAACAAAATACAAGATAAGACCAGGTACTGGTGGTTCACACCTGTAATCTTAGCTACTCAAGAAGCTGAGATCTAAGGATTTCAGTTAGAAGCCAGTCCAGGCAGAAAAGTATGAGATTCTTTTTTTTTTTTTTTTTGTCGGTCATGGGGCTTGAACTCTGGGCCTGGGCGCTGTCCCTCAGCTCTTCAGCTCAAGGCCAGCGCTCTACCACTTGAGCTACAGCGCCACTTCCGGTTTTCTGGTGGTTTATTGGAGATAGGAGTCTCACGGTCTCTCCTGCCAGGGCTGGCTTTGAACCTTGATCCTCAGATCTCAGCCTCCTGAGTAGCTAGGATTTCAGGCGTGAGCCACCAGTGCCCGGCGAGATTCTTTATCTCCAGTTAACTAGCAAATATTGGCAAGTAGAGCTGTGGTTTAAGTGGTAAAGCACTAGACTTGAGCATAAAGCTAAAGGATAGCACCCAAGCCCTGAGTTCAAATCTCAATACTGGCACACACAGAAAAGCTACAAAGTAACAAGTGTAATTTCATTTCCCATGAGGTAATCAATGTTAATAAACTTAGTTTTGTAATAGAAGTTATTTTTGTAATTGTGTTTTGTTTAGGGCCGAGTGGAATGCTGGGACCCGCGAATGCGCAACAGAGTTGGTGTGTTAGATTGCGCCCTGAGTAGTGTCACAGCAGATTCAGAGTAAGTGGGATAAGTCCTTAGTGTGACTGTTCATTAGCTATCTGACTTAGGAGCTGTGTCAACATGAAATTAGTCATTGCTGTGGACGAAACTCAACATTTATATTGGAAGTTGTGGTGTAATTGTTTTACATAACATCCTAGCTTGTGAAAACACACCAAGTGGTAGAACTCCACTTTAAAGAACTACACATAGGTACTTTCTTCCTTTAGTTGCCCTATTCCAGTTCTGTAGGATCTCGTGGTAGGCCCATGATTCACCACTTCAGTTAATGGGTAAGATGGGTTTTTAACACTCAGGTAGAGCAAGCAGTTGTTTGTTTCTTTTTTAAACTCCTGTTTGTCTAGCTTCTATAGAGGAGGAATACTACACAGCACAAAGTAGAGGGTTAAGTAAGAAGAAAAATCCTGTCCTTTCCCCATTCACAGTTCCATAGTTACCCTTCAGGTGTTTTTCTGTGCAGATGCGATCATGCACAGGCAGAGGGCAGTGTTAGGCAAGTCCTAGTATGTGATTATCTCTGCAGGCACTTCAGAAATGCCTTTTCTGGGTTCTGCTGTTTCTAGTGTTGTGATATAGTCCAATGAGAAATGCACAGACCTTCAGTAATTATAGTATGGTGTATAGTATATGGAATATTCGGTAACTTTAAGCCAGAAAATTCACTTTTATGTCTGATAATAGAAAAAACAGTGCAAAATGCACATTAAATTTTTGTCATGTTAGCATGAAAGAAAACAAGGGAAGTGGGCTGGGAATATGGCTTAGTGGTAGAGTGCTTGCCTAGCATGCATGAAGCTCTGGGTTCAATTCCTCAGTACCACATAAACAGAAAAAGCCGGAAGTGGTGCTGTGGCTCAAGTGGTAGAGCACTAGTCTTAAGCAAAAGTAGTTCAGAGACAGTGCCCAGGCCCTGGGTTCAAGCCATGGGACTGGCAAAAACAAAACAAAATGAAAACAAGGGAACTGTAAGTGGAGAAAAGATGTCACTGTCATGGAAAATCATCCTGAAGTTCATTGTGAATGGTAAATGACTGAAATCGAGGTCACAGGCTCTCAACAGCTGCTGCAGTGCAGTTCCAGGCCATGGCTCTGGGTGGCAGGAAAAGCCTGATGAAGCCCAAGCCATTGGCCGAGCCAAGGGCTCACAGACCTTAAATGCTGAAAGCAGGACGTGTCCACTCTGGCTTTAGCTGGTCTTTCCCTCTCTCTCCACCGTGGGTTTTTGAATTGGTACTCATATGCTGGCTGATGGATTTGAGGCATATTCTAGAACTGTGGCCATATCCTGCATTCCGTGTTTGGTACTTTAGAGGTCCTAGGGTTCATTTGAGTAGTCCTTTGTTTCAGTTGGTTCATTTTCTATTTGCTTTATGGCTGGATTAGGGCCTGAACTCAGGTCCTCTGGCTTGCTGGCAAGTGCTCTACCACTTGAACTAACTCTCCACTTGCTTTTAGTTTTCTAGGTAAGATCTTGTGACTAAACTTGGGCCATCCTCAGATGGTGGTTCTCCTATCTCTGCCTCCCACAAGCTGGATTATAGGTGTTTGCTGTCTCACCCTGCCCTTTCTGAGATAGGCTCACTAACATTTTTGTCTAGGCTGGCCTCAGCCCATAATCCTATCATATCTTTGAAAGTATGTGGGATTACAGACATATATCACTATACTCAGCACTAGCTGGATAGTTTTAAAATGTAAATAAATACCCTTATGTCCAAAAAATAACATTATTTTCCTAAAGTAAAAATGGGATGTTTCTAAAAATACCGAATCCTGGCCTCATTAAAATAAAAGATAAAGGTAGATTTCATTTATATGTGAGGTATGTTTTTTATTTCAGTTGTAAGTATTTGTATGTAATTTCCCTCTAAACAAAAAGCTAGAAATAGGATTTTCCCTGTGAGAGTGGAAGGAAAGGTCGGTGATAAACTTGTTTCTATGAAGAGTTTGGCAGTAGAATCATGAAGCAGGGATGTTTTGCCTTTCAGGATAAGCAGCTTGCCGACCATCTCCGCTTTGAAATTTAATGGCGCTTTGACTATGGCTGTTGGGACGTCCACGGGGCAGGTAAATGTTGAAGCTGAACACCTGATCACAGTTTAGAGGCAAGCTTGGGAAATGAGTATGAAGAGAAAGTGAGGAGCACCTCTTTGGGCCAGAATGCAGAGGGTGGTCCAGAAAGCTGGGGACTTCTATGCCTCAGTGCTTGGGCTGAGGCATCAAGGAAATATAGCTACCATGGGGAATCCTTAGACACCCCTTTTTTTTTTTTTTTTTGAGACAGAGTCTTACTATGTAACCTAGCCTGGCCTAGAACTCACTACATTGCCTAGGCTGAGTTCAGAATTTTTTTCCCCCACCTTTGGGGCCTGTCCTGGGGCTTGAACTTAGGGTCTGGGTGATGTCCTTGAACTTTTTTGTTCACAGCTAGCACTCTGCCTTTTGAGCCATAGCTCCAGTACCATCTTTTTTTTTTTGTCATTTATTGGAGATAAGTGTCTTATAGACTTTCCTGCCTTGGGATGGCATTGAACCACTGTCCTCAGATCTCAGTTTCCTGAGTAGGTAGGATTACAGACATGAGCCACTAGGGCCCAGCTGGGTTCAGACTCTTGACCCTCCTGTCAGGTATTCTCTAAATAGGCTTGTAGAACAGCATTTTCCAGAGTGTACAGAACAGAATTGTGTTTTCAAGACAGTTTAGAATTCTGCCAGGTTCCTCCTCTTAGAGGTTCAGTGTGTTTATTAAATGTATATTGAAAGCTCTGAGAGTTCCTGCAGACAAGATTTGTGTGTACGAGGCACCTTTACCCACATAAGCATTGTAACTGCATCCCAGGCATGAGTGGTCAGCAGAACTGCGTTAGCTAAGTGCTAGTCTGGGAGTCTTTCTTCCCTTCTTTCCTACACAAAGCTCACATCCTTGTAAGTTTGCCCTAAGCCCACAAGAGTCTGAGGGCTGCCTGAGTAGACCTACCTGTGTCATCTTGTCTCCTGGGACTCAGTCCTAGCTTTCCAAGCTCCCTTGCCTCATGACCAGGGTCAGAAGAGATGCCCTTTTCCCCACATGCCACAGCCTTCCCAGCATGCCCGTCCCATGCCTGCCAGGACTGAATCTCAGGGGCCCTTCCTTCCCATTGATAACTGGTTGCCAGGACAATGCCTGGTACCTAGTAGGCCCTCTGTGTGTATTTATGAAATAATAGAGCCATGCTCATGTGTGTAATCCTAGCTACTCAGGAGACTAAGATCTGAGGATCATAGTTAGAAGCCAGCCTAGGCAGAAAAGTCCCTGTGAAACTTTTATCTCCAGTAAACTACTCAAGCCAGAAGTGGTCCTGTGGTTCAAGTGGTATTGTTGCTAGCCTTGAGCATTGAGCACAAAGAGGCTGAGGGACAGTACCCAGGCCCTGAGTTCAAATCCCAGGATGAGCAATAAATAAATAAATAGTCAAGTTCTTACGGACTTTCCCTTTCTTAGTATGAATCCATAGTTCCTAACCTTGGTGTGCTTAAACAATTTCTGAGTTGAATTCATGAAACTGTATTCTAAGAATAGTTGAATAGCTTTCTAGGGCATGGCTGACTCTAGAACATCAGCACCTGAGTCAGGGTTTCCCTGTGCCCATGCAGTTACTGGCACAACTGCAGCCATTTTTCTTTTAATGGTTTCTTGTTAAGGTATTTGTTTAAATAAAAGTAACTTTTTTTGTTTTTTAGGTTTTACTTTATGATCTTCGGTCTGATAAGCCATTGCTGGTTAAGGATCACCAATATGGGCTGCCCATTAAGTCAATTCATTTCCAGGACTCACTAGATTTGATTTTGTCTGCAGACTCCCGAATTATCAAAATGTGGAATAAGAACTCAGTATGTATTTTTTTCTTTTTTATTTGCATTTGTTCCACATGTACCTTGTCTTGATATTGCCCTTTCTGGGGTTATATGGGATCTTGAAGGGTACTATGTTGTGCCTGGGACGGCGGCTCAGTGGTGGAGCGCTCGCCTCGCATGCCTGAGGCCCTGGGTTCCATTCCTCAGCACCACATCAGCAGAAAAGCCAGAGGTGACACTGTGGCTCAAGCGGTAGGGCACTAGCCTTGAGCTGAAGAGTGCAGGGAAGTTCCCAGGCCCAGAGTTCAGGCCCCACTACTGACAAAAAAGAAATACTGTGTCAACATCTGTGACATACATACTTATATGCATAGCTCGGATACTGAGTATCCATTTGAGAGCTTGGCAGGAAGTCAGTTAAGTATTTGAAGTAGTCATGATCCTCTTCCTGTTAAGAAGTTTTCCTAATTTGCTAATACTGGCCTGCATGTTAGATGCTGAGTTTGAAAAGAAAACTATAGTTTGAAAGCAGCTGTCCCTGAGAACTGCCAGGGTCTTATGTGTCTCACAGTCTGTGAGACTTTTCATGAGCTACTAGTTCTTTCCATATCAGACATCCCAGTTTCAAACCTTTTCCTCTCAAACAAGTGGATTTTAGAGAGAACATCGTTATAATAATCTCAAAATATTTTTCTTGAAAGTAGAACTAAGAGTATTTTGATGTTCCCTCAAGTCTGTCATTTAAAATATAACAAAAATCTCATTTTGCTAGTTTTAGTTCACCTTTGGCCTTTCATATTTAATTAGAAGCTTAGAATATTAAAAAAATTTTATTTCCAATTAATAAAATAATTGTGAATTTTCATACCTATAAGTTTTCTTTTTGCTTTTTTTCAAAGTGTCACTTAAAACCTTTGTGTCTGAGATGAAAGTGGCTAGAAGGCCTAGAGACTTCAGTGTCACTTGATAGCTGGTGCTGGTCTGTTATTGGCCTGCTATGATCAGGGCACAAACCGGGGCAGCTCTGTCATGGCCCAGACACATGTAGTCACTTCTGCCTTGCCAGCATTACTTTGAAATTTTTCCCTTTAGCTCCAGAACTATCGGAAAAGGCTTGAAACTAGGATGTCTGCTATGGAAAGAACTAGTAGCTCATGAAAACTCTCACTGACTGTGAGACAGATAAGACCTTGGCGGTTCTCAGGGACAGCTGCTTTTAAATGATCCTTGGAAGAATTACCCCTAATGATTGCCCAGGAATTGACTTTGCTAGCTGCTTTATGAGGCTGGCGTTTGAAGGTTTTGAGGGCTCTCTCAAAAGATTCAGGGTTTCTTACACAAGGATTTTCCTGCTCATTTTCTGGCAGTCTGGACTAATTTATGTTTACTTTCAATAATGTAAGTGCGTGTGTGTATATATATATATATATATTTAAATTATTTATTGTTGCTGTTAAGGTGATATACACAGGGGCTGCCATTTCTTAAGTCAGATAATGAGTACTTTTTTCTCTTTTTCTTTTTTTTTAATCGGTCATGGGTCTTGAACTCTGGGTCTGGGTACTGTTCCTCAGCTCCTCAACTCAAGGCAAGTGCTCTACCACTTGAGCCACAGTACTACTTCTGGAAGGTTTTCTGTTGGTTTATTGGAGATAAGAGTCTCAAGGATTTTCTTGCCCGGGCTGGCTTTGAACCATGATCCTCAGATCTCAGCCTCTTGAGTAGCCAGGATTACAGGCATGAGCCACTGGCACCTAGCTTGAGTACATTTCTTTTGAGCAGTGTCACCCCTTCCTCCATTCTCCATATATTTTTATTATTTAAAATTTATAAAGGGGACTCAGTGGTAAAGTGCTTGCCTTGCATGCATGAGGCCCTGGGTTTGATTCCTCAGCACCACATAAGCAGAAAAAAAGCCGGAAGTGGCGCTGTGGCTCAAGTGGTAGAGCTCTAGACATGAGCTGAAGAGCTGAGGGACAGTGCCCAGACCCAGAGTACAGGCCCCACAACCGACAAAAAATAAATAAATAAATTTTATACACACACACAAACGTATATAAAATACTGGTAAGAAGAATTTAGCGTATCTAATGGTAATGCTGCAATCAGTTTGGATACATACGTTCGTATCTTTTAATGGCTGTGTTTTCTATAATAAGGACCATAATGAAGTTACAGAATTGCTTTCTCTTGTTCCTTGCTGTTATAGTTGCCTTTCTTCTTCCTTCCTTTTCCTTTTTCCTACTTCTTGTTTCTGTGAAACTTGAGAAGGGAGGTAGCTGCCTGAGTTTCTCTATGTTGAATAGACCTTGGCTGCTGTTTTGTATGCAGCATGACTGAGCTGCTGCCTGAGCTCTAGCTCTTCTCCCCTCTCCACTGGGAGCTCGCCTGTCCTGATATCAGCCTCTAATACTGACTTATTACTGCAAGAGCTGGCAGGACTTGTCTGCAGGTCTGCTTGAAATCATCAAGCTATAATTGTCACAATGAATTATATTTTGCTATTTTGTTTTTCTTATGACAAAATACTTCCTCTTGCCCAACATCTAGATGGCTTGGGTTTTTTTTTTTTTTTTTTCCTTGTTTTTGTTCTGTTTTGTTTTTTGGGTCCGGTCGTGGGGCCTGAACTCTGGGCCTGGGTGCTGTCCCTCAGCTCTTTAGCTCAAGGCTAGCGCTCTACCACTTGAGCCACAGTGCCACTTCCGGCTTTTTTCTTTTTTACTTATGTGGTGCTGAGGAATCGAACCCAGGGCCTCATGCGTGCAAGGCAAGCGCTCTACCACTGAGCCACCTTCCCAGCCCCACTTTCCTTGTTTTTATCTTGTCATCTTTCTCCACACCCACCTTATTTTCTGTCTTTGTGTGTGTGTGTGTGTGTGTGTGTGTGTGTGTGTGTGTGAGAGAGAGAGAGAGAGAGAGAGAGAGAGAGAGAAAATTGCTAGGACTTGAACACAGGGCCTTGCTGAGGCTTGGCAGGTACTAAGCCACTGAGCCACATCCTCAGCTCTTTCATAGCCACTGTGTTGATCCTGCTATACGTGTGGCAGGTGTCCATGTTTACCATGTCGGCCATCTTTTCTTCTCAGTTCATTTGAGTTAAGTTAAATCCTTATAAGTCACAGGTTATGCACATTTTATTGCTGATTTACAGCTTGTTTTAACTTTATCCTTTTGCGCCATGTAGCCATTACCTTTAAAACTGAGGGGTTTTTTTTAACCTGGTTTTTGTCTTTTTTGCTTTTTTAATTTTTTTATTAGTTACCTCTTGTTCTTGGGCCCTTAGTTTCTTCACCTCTCAAGGGAAAATATTTGATAACTTGCTAAGACAAATTATCTGAGTTTTTTAAATATATAAGTTCTTTCAGTTAGTTATTTATTGGGTATTTTTTCCCAGCTAATTTTTTTTGTTTGTTTTCGCTTGAACTCAGGGTCTGGGCACTGTCTCTGAGCTTCTTTTGTTCAGGGCTAGCACTCTGTCACCTGAGACCACAGCACCACTTCCAGCTTTTTCTGTGTATGTGGTGCTAAGGACTCGAACCCAGGCTTCATGCATGCAAGGCAAGTACTCTACCACTAAGCCAAATTCCCAGCCCAGCTATTTTATTTTTAATGTAGCAGTAGGTAACTGACTTACATCTCCAGTTTATTTATAAGACATTTCTAAAAGCAGTCTGTCTTTATGCTAATAGTTTATTTCTGCTTACTATTTTAGGGGAAAATATTTACTTCTTTGGAGCCAGAGCATGACCTTAATGATGTATGCCTCTATCCCAACTCAGGTATGCAATAGGAGCAAATGATTGTTTATGAGATAAATGTCCACCATATATTTTGGGATTTTAAAGTAATTTGACTTCTTAAGATAGATTTTGACTTGGTCAGGACAATTCTTGGCTAGTTTATGTACCTGGGAGGATAAAGAACAGGAAGTGGTGTGGATGATTCAGAAAAAGGCACTCAGAGTGACTCAGTCAGTCCTCAGGCTGCCTCGCTATTAGTAGAAAGTAGTAACAATGTCTGGGTAGGCGGCAAGTGAGATGCTATTCTGGTGTGTGCTTCAGCTCCTTTATATGCTTAGTAACAGTGTGTGGAAATAGAAGCTGTGGGCTTGGAGGAGGCTGGACTTGCTTGATAATACACAGATGGCTCATGAAGCCCTGGGCTGTGCCATGGTCTATGCAACATGCTTTCAAATCTCACCATGGTTTCTAACTAACAATACATTCAGAGCGAAGCTGAAGAATTTGAAGGTGTAGGAGAACAATAGCAGTTCCTGCTGTTCAGTGTGCTCTGAGGACAGACACATCCCAGCACTTATGTGAGGGATGGGAGAGTCATGTCTTGTACATGCAGGTGGCAGTGCGGCATGAGAGGAGTGCTTTAATCAGGGTGCTGAGACGGGAACATGGAGGATTTCCCTGCCTTGTGTTTGGAGCTTTGAATGAGGTTATGTTAGATGGAGTTGGGTGATGTGATCCACAGAGACAAGAGCTTTGGGAAAGCTAGAAGCTGTGGTGGCTCTGAGGGAGCTGAGGTGGGAAGGTGGGTGGGGCTAGCTTGTGATAGAGGTCTGGGAAGGTTGTATCTGTCTGTGTGGCCTTAGACTCTTGTCAAAAACTCACATGTGCAAAGAGTGGATTGGTTTGGAAGTAAAATGATGAGGGAAGTGTTATTCCAAGTTGGGATATGGAACACAAGTAGTAGAGTAGGCATGGAGAGAAAGCTGGCGGTTTTCTGTTTTAGTATTTGGAGGTGATAGGTTAGTAGCGGTAGCTAGCTAAGTCTCCAACCTGGGGAGATGTCTTAAGTACTAAGTCCTTGGCCTTTTCAGGGTACAGGGTAAGGGCTGGAAAAATGTCCTGACATGGTTCCCAGGTAACTGCTGCAGCATGCCCAGTGTTTACCGCAGAGCCTCCCCCTGGGAGCTGTCTGGTGCATTGTGGTACATGTGGTCTTGAGGTAAGCCATGTGCAGAAGAAAGTGTTAAGATAGGTAAATAGAGATTATCTCAGGATAAGTAAGAGAGAATGAGATCACCAAAGGGAATTGTGGGGAGCAGGAAGGGCAGAGTGCAGGAGCAGGTTCATTTAGAGGGAGATAGAGAAGGAGCCAGTGGAGAAACCTGGAAATAAACAGAATAACCTTGGTTAGGAGATAGTGTGTTTGGAGGTTAGAGGGGGCTTACTCAGAAGTGTTAAGCATATAGCACTTGAGGTCAGGAGAACTGAGACTTACTTAATGCTATGTTGTTAATCTGAGTGTTACAGTGTGAATTTATCATTTGTCTTTTGTGTGTGTGCATGTGCGTGCGCTGATCTGGGGCTTGAACGGCGTGGGCACTGTCCCTGAGCTGTGTCTTTTCTTTTTTTTGGCTCAAGGCTATACCCTACAACCTGAGCTACAGCTCTACATATGGCTTTTTTTGGTGGATAATTGAACATAAAAGTCTCGTGAACTTCCCTGCCCAAGCTAGCTTTGAACTACAATCCTGTCTCAGCCTCCTTAGTAGCTAAGATTACAGGCATGAGCTACCAGCACCTGTCTTCATTTGTCTTTTTGTAACCCTGTGTAGTCAGTGGCCCAAGGGTTTTCTTTTTGTTTCTTTGTTTTTGGTTCCTTTTCTGTCCTTTTTCTTCTTAGGAAATCAGAGCAGTTGAGTAATTTATCAGAGTTGGTTACCTGGCTGTGTATGGCAGTAACTTAATTTGAACCTTCTCTTTTTCTGGTGTTGGTCCTGGGGCTCTGAACTGAGGATCTAGGCACTGTCACTGCCTCTAGCACTTTACCACCTGATCCATCGTCTCACGTCTGGCTTTTTTGATGGTTAACTGGAGATAAGAGTCTCGTGGACTTTCCTGTCCAGACTGACTTCAAACCTCTGTCCTCAGATCTCAGTCTCTTGAGTAGCTAGGATTATAGGCATGAGCTCATAGCTTACAACTTTCTTTGAGTGGGGGCTGGAAGCATGACTCAAGTGGTAAAGTGCCGGCCTTGCAAGCACAAGGCCCTAAGTTCAATTTCTAGTACTGTCAACAAAAGAACCTTCCTGGTGAACAAGTGCAGTCATTCAGTATATACTATGTGGAAAATGACATGTAACTTGTAGGCAGGGATGGGAAGAGGAAACTGGGGGAAAGTAAAGGAAGGGTTAACATTGTCTACAAAAAGAATTGTACTCAATATCTGACTTATGAAATGATAGCCCCTCTGTATAACACCTTAATGATAACAATAAAAAAAATTTTTAAAGCCTTCCTGAAAAGGGTTCTTTTTAGTTACCTGCCACTAGAGCGGCGTAAGGAGGAGAGTGACTGGGAGGAAAGCCACTAGAGACAGCATTGTTTGTGAAAGTCCAAAACTCTCATGCTGAGGAGGCATGAAGTCAGATCTTGGATGGATGGTTCAGGATGCTGTGGTGCTAGCTGGGGTATGGAAAGGGCCTGAAATGGGGTCTGGGTCGCAGAGGGGTGGTGAAGCAGGAGCTCAGGTTGGAGTAGGAGTGCTGACTTCCACATCCTCACCCCTCCTTCCCTCCTCCCATATGATAATGATGTCCAGGATCAGGCCAGTGACCTTGTAGCAAGTCCCTCTCCTGCGTATGTGTGACTGCTCCTCACGGTGTCCTTCAGCTTGTCAGCTTGGCAGTTGATGGAAAATAGTAGGTATAACTTAATTAAGTTGAAGCTAAACATTTCAGGTAAGAATAATGCCAGGCTGCTGGACTCTGTATATGAGATTTCTTCACAGCCAGTTTTCCCCCAGTTGGTGAGGGTATGTTTGGTTTGTTTTGATAAGGGTCTATTATGAAGTAGAGTGTTCTAGAAAGGAACTCTTTTAGGAGTGGCATTTCAGACAGGCACACCTTGCTGTCAGATAATTTATACAAAGTGGTCAGCTGTACCCAAGCCTGCCTAGTATTTATTCCACGAAGTGGTGATACAGTTGAGGTAGCCAAGGTGCCACCTTGGTGCTGCCACGGAGGTGCGAGCCTGGGCCTTCTCCATGGCCCTGCCAGGTGTGGTAGCTCCATAGGCTTTGCTCTTCCCTTGCTTTGCCACACCTTTCTCTTTCCACTGTGTTTTGGGCTTAATCACTAAGTGCTTAATCATATTTTAGAAAAGCTAAAACCTCCTTTATCTGCTCACTTGCTCATTTTGGATCAATTAAAGCCTAATCATCACAGTTGTTTTGTAATGTTTTTCTAATAGCAAGCCTGCTCAGAATATTGAGAACTGATTCCTTCCTGGCTCATTTTATGGGTCTGCTCTTGCTAATTGCTCAGCCCCTTTGTGCAGCCTTCACATGCCCAGCCCCTGCTCTGCAGGTCAGGGCACTTGAAGAGTCAGCATGGCTCAGTGACAGGTGTATACCAGCCTTACGGCACAGGAAGCTGATAAAGCTTCCATGTGCCACAGTCCCATTTAGCCCTATGCATGCAGGGTCAGTGGTTCCAGAACCAGCCGGCGGTAGAAACAACAGAGATGGGCTTTGGACTCAAGGCTTACTTCAGGCTTAATTATGCCCCTTTCTCCATCCCTTTCCTCAGTTTTCTCATCCACTTTCCAAGGCTGTTGGAGACTGCCTATGCTATGACATGCAGAACAACTTTAGTCTCTCTCAGCATCCTCTAACTACAGAGAAAACTGAGATGATTTACAGACATCCTTGGTGCCTGGCTTGTAAATTCACATGCTTTACTTCAGTCACAAGCTATATGTGGGCCAGGCGTGTTCCCCCTGTCCCTGGCCTTCTCTTCTCACAGTGTGTCTGCCCTGAGCTGTACAAGGCAGTAACTGTTACTAGGAAAGTGATCAGAGTTGAATGGCTGCGCAGATTCCTAAGTGTCCCTCAATTTCTGCATCTCAGCCTGGTAACTGGGAGTTCTCTGTGAGTGGGAGTGCCCTAGAGCCCTCAATGAGTCCTTTCTCTTGAAACTCACCCACCCGAGTACTGATGTGCACATTTCTGGGAGGCGTTGATTTATCACATCTCTGTCACTGTGTTATGACCCATGCAGCGTGCTGTACACTGTGCCAAGGAGGACTGGCTCATCCCAGCATGTGCTCCTTTACTTGGGATGCTCATATTTTTTTCCCTTTAAAAGTTATGTTTCTCTGAGTGCTGATGGCTCAGACCTGTGATCCTAGCTGCTCAAGAGGCTTAGGTCTGAAGGTTGTAGTTTGAAGCTAGCCTGGGCAGGAAAGTCCTTGAGACTATCATCTCCATTTAACCACCCACCCCAAAACAAACAAACAAAAACAGGCAGTGGAACTGTGGTGCAAATTACAGGGCATTAGCCTTTGAGCACAAAAGTTCGAGGCAAGTGCCCAGGCCCTGAATTTAAGCTTGATGACCCGTACACACACACAAGCCATGTTTCTGTTGTGGGAATAGTAAGCCACAACATTAACAGAAGTTCAAAGGAAAAAAATATTCCTAATGCTAGTCTCTTCACAAGTACTATTCTCATCAGAGAAGTTCTTAACTGAATTCGTCCTGTGCTCATGTGTTTTATTTTAAATTGTACTCAGACTTGATGACCTGCTTAAAAAAAAATGTACTCAACACTATCCATAGTTACCTTTTGTTTTGTTTTGTTTTTTGTTTTTGGGTCCGGTCGTGGGGCCTGAACTCTGGGCCTGGGCGCTGTCCCTCAGCTCTTCAGCTCAAGGCTAGCGCTCTACCACCTGAGCCACAGCGCCACTTCCGGCTTTTTTTCTTTTTGCTTATGTGGTGCTGAGGAATCGAACCCAGGGCCTCAGGCATGCAAGGCAAGCGCTCTACCACTGAGCCACCTTCCCAGCCCCATAATTACCTTTTGCTGCTGAGTTTGATATGTTGGAAAAAGAAAAGCTGGAAAGAAGATAAAACCAATGTTACATGTAGATGGAGAGATTTCTTCTTTTGTTGTGTGTTTTTAGCCCTTATTTACCAGTTCATTTGGTAGTGCAGGAAAGCTTTTTTATTTTATCTCAGTTGTTAGAGTCTCATAGTTTATTGGTTTGGAGTCTGTAGAATACCTTTACTCTGCCTCGCAGCTGTGAGCAAGTCGCTGAACGTGCTAAGGGTGTACAGTGCCCGGCACAGCGCTCCTACCCTGCTCATCTCTTCCCAGTGCTCTTCCTCATTCCTTGTTGTTATTTCTCCTTAGAAACTTGTACTTCTTCTGTTTCTACTTGGATACTTTATCGCATTGGGGTTTGTGAAGTTGTTTATGGTTTCAGTCCTGACCTGAGCCACTTCCGTTTAGTAGCTGGCCTTATTGGTTATTGACAATACAATTGAGATCATGCTACATTATAGGAAACTGTCTTACTCTTTGTGTACGTAGATTAGAGTGATGTTTATAGTGTGTTGGAAGGCCTGGCTATGTTTTCTTGTGGAAAGCTCGCTGTTCAGTGTTTGGCATTGACTTAGAGAGGACAGGCTCAGGTATGTCTTTGCTGGATTCTTGGTGGTTTTAATGTTACCACTCATTACTCCTGTAACCAGGACTGAGGCACTTGGAGATGTGTCAGCAGTACTGTCAGGAGAGACTGAAGTTCAGTTATAAGGTGTTTTTGGTCACCATGACCTCAAATACCAAGTAATCATTTAAACAATGTCTTTCCAGGCCGGAAAAAGGGCTGAGGTGAAAGATTTTGCAGAGGCTACATACTGCTATGAAAAAATGGCTCTGATTTTTATTTCTGTTTAATTTGGACACATCTTCTTGCATTTCCAGACTTTATTAAGTGTTTTGGGATGATTTTATGGTATGTAGATGAGTTTTTTAGTGATTTGCTGATGTCAGGTCAGGATTAGCTTATACTTTTGAGTTACGAGCAACAATGCTAATGGATCTCATTCATTGGCATTTTACTTTTGCAAATACCACCTTTTTTTTTTTTTACAGGCTTTTGTATTAACAAAAGGAAGGATAGCAAAAAATACTTTTAAAAGTCAGAATCAAATCATAGTCCTTATCATTTGGTATGTTTATGATTATGTAATCTGATCATCTAAAGATGATCTTCTTGAATTCTTCTTAATTTGTATACCATTTTGTTGATATGTGAAAGTCTCTAGAAATAAGAGTTCTTGAGTCTGAATTTAACTGTAATCACTTCCCCTTGCTCATTACTAAGGCATCAGTCCGTTTGAAAATTAGTCTTATAATCATTAAAACAGAGATTATATTAGTTCTTCTATTATTCATTCATTTGGAGGAGGGGTACAGCACTGGGATTTGAACTCAGGGCCTTGTGCTTGCTAAGCAGGCACTTTACCATGATACTGGTTTAGAGTTTGTTGCATGTCCTCTAAAGAAATATTTGCAAATGCTCAGCATATTATAAATGATCAGATGTTTGCTGATTTCAGTTTTGGGCAGTCCTGGGGTTGTTTGAGCTTGTATCTTGGGCTTGCTAGAAAGTCACTCTACCACTTGATCCATGTCCCAACTCTCTGATTCTAGTTTACTTTGAAGGCAGCTGTCCGGAACAGAAGCCACTAGAAACCTGACAGAACATCAGCATCTTGTCACCAACATTGGAGTTGCTTCCGAAAACTTGGGGGAAGGAGTTTGTTATAAAAGAGGCAGAGAAAGAGACCAACACTGAGACCTGTAATACTCTGAGATTGAAGAGTTAAGCATTAAAGAATAATAGCTCTCTAGTTTGTTTGCATGTATGAAAATAGAGCAAGGAAACCTGTTGCAATTGTTTAGGAATAGGGAAGAGGAAGAGAGAGTGATAGAGGGGTGAAATTGATCGGAATCCATTGTATACATATGAGGAAATGTCCAAATGCACCTTCTCCCTTGTACAACTATGTATGCTAATTTTTGAAAAGATTCTAGGTTGCTGTTGTTACTGAGAACATAGGGAATCTTTTATTGCAAGTCAGAAAATTCTTACAGTGCCCACTCTGTGGAGACTAACTGCTCTGTTGGTTCATTCTCAGGAAGGAATGGTCATATAATATTACAAGGCTGTTCAGTTCCATGTGGAACTGAATCCACATGGATTCTCCTGTATCTTTTCTTTTCCTAGTCAGGTGCAAATATTTGGAATTTGCCTTGACATTTTATGGGAAACACTTTATCTTGGTTCTTTGATTCCTGTTCCAAAGAAGGAAGACTTTCTTCTTAACTTCCTCATGATTAGTCTGATAAGATAGTTCCCACAAACTACATCTGTCCATAAGTTTGTTTCCAAGCTAAACTTTCTCAAACTTCACAAAGATCAGTGCAGCCTGGGTGTTTCACATCCAACTCAATGGGAGATTGCTGTTTCCATGACTGAAGACTCATCTAGAGAGCCAGGGACTAAACCCCAAGATGGGGCTCCAGAGACCCCCGCCTCCAGACTCAGCTCTTCTGGTTACTGACTGCTGAGCAACTCAAACATTGCAACATGTAAAACAGAAAGAGTGCTTTTCTTCTTCCTATCTGTTTACTGTTTTCATTGTGTTTGTTTTTAGGAATGCTTCTTACTGCCAATGAAACTCCCAAGATGGGCATCTATTACATTCCGGTAAGAAACCAAGTAGGAATTACAGTAAAGTAGGTCAGATGAAAATAGTGTATTTTTGATTGATTGCATTGATATTTTATTTCTTCGGTTTCCATGTGGTATGGGGTAGTCATAACAGACTTGCTTGCAGGAGGACTTTGCTTCCTGGAACCAATGTAGCTAAACATTATATTATGGGAAGCCATTTGGTAGCATGTTGAAAATGGACATTAAGCTGGGCACCGGTGGCTCACTCCCGTAATCCTAGCTACTCAGGAGGCTAAGATCTGAGGATTGTAGTTCGAAGCCAACCCGAGCAGGAAAGTCCCCGTGAAACTATTTCCAGTTAATCACTCAAAACCAGAAGGGGTGCTGTGGCTCAAGTGGTAGAGCAATAGCCTTGAGCACAGAGAGGCTCAGGGACAGTGCCTTGGCCCTGAGCTGAAGCCCTACAACTGACAACAACAGCAAAAGAGCATTAAAATTATTATTTATTCTTCAGATATATACTTGTTTTTTCCCAAGTATTTTAGAACTTATCCGTTATTGATTTTAAGTCTAAATCTAAAAGAGATACCTCGTATTCTTCTTCTTATCTCACTGTAGGTTGTTTCTTTTAAGAACAAATTACATATGAAACGAACTTGTTGAGATAAACGTGATTAATCCGTGGTGATACTTAGTTGACTATCTTATTTTTCCCTCCTTCAGAGTTTCTCTCCCCACTCCAGCCCCTTGCTGAGTGCTGGGGGTGTGTCCCAGGCCTGGCACATGCTGTAGCACTGAGCCACAACCCTAGTCCTTAAGGACTTTTGTTGGGCTAGAGACAGCTCAAGTGGTAGAGCATTGCCTTGCCTGGTATCTGCAAAGCCTCAAATTCCACCTCTAGCACCAACAACCCAAAATCTTTGGTGCCAGAAGCTTTCCATCTTTATCAATTAGTTTATGTTAGGAAAGAAAAGAGGAGAAATGCAATCTCCTAAGCAGACAAAGAGAACTTCATATTGCCATCAGATTATTTGTCTGCGATTAGGGGAGAAGAAAGGTGGGTGACCTAGATCAGAACTTGGGGAGGTAAACTCTGTCAGACTTCAGCTATGAAAGTAGCTCAATTATGTGTATATTTCCAAAAACATGGTCTGCCTTAGGATACAGCTCTGTGATCTTAGCAAACTGATATTGATATACTTTGTAATATTTCTTTTGATTTTTAGTAAAATGAAGGTCATTCAAACAGAAAACTTTTGTGTTGTTGTTGTTGTTTTAATGTTGTCTTTTCCTCCTTTTTCCCTAGAAAAGATCCTGCTTCTGTATTCCTTTCAGTGTACTATCTTCCCTTGAATTCATTGATTAGTAAATACTTTTTGTTTCATCATCTGTGTGTCAGGAGCTGCGCTGTGTGCGGCAGTGTTCCAGTGTATAAGGCATTACTGTTGGGACTGCTGGGGGTTGAAAATCATTTCAGTTCAGTACCATAACCACTATAGGAAGAGAGAGGAGGGGTGCTCCAAGAGTGAACAGGATGCTCAGTCCTTTCACCCAGCACTGTGTGCCAAGCTCAGGGAGATAGCAGAGCAAAAGGCACATTGAAAAGGGTCTGTGGCAGGTGTGGGTGTAGAGGACAGGGACTCTTGATGCAAGGGTCAGCAAGGACCCTGATAGGATCAGATCTGCCTTGTGGAGATTTTGCTTAGGCAATGCAAGGAGAATGGATTATGGGATCTGATCTGCAACAGCAAAACAGGCTGTGGTAGTTCAAGAAGGGATGGTAGTGCTCTCGTGGCCCATGCTAGGACTCTTCCTCAGTAGCATGTATTTTCTGGGTTCTGGGGAAATTTAAGACAAGAAGTCCTCTCTAATAGGCAGTCATTTCTGAAGGGCTTGTTACCCTTGACCTGCCCAGTAGGGTGTCTGAGAGGTGTTCACTCACAGGTGTAGATCACAAGAAATGCTCCCACGGGACAGAGTTCTCTAATTGTCTCTCAGTTTCCGCAAAAATCAGTGTGTCTCACCTTTATATCAGAGAAGATGGCAGTCCATCTTCCTCTAAGGGTTGCTTGATGTGTTTTTTTTAATTTATTTTTTATTTTATTTTATTGTGAAAATACCATACAGAGGAGTTACAATTACATGGCCAAGATAATGAGTTCATTTCTTATCAAGCATTGTTGCCTTCTCTTTATTTCCCCTTCCCATCCCTTCCCTACCTCCCTCCACCTGGTCCCCTCCCCCCCGCCCCGCAAAGTTGTAAAGTTCATTTTTCGACATAACGACTTGTTTGATATGTTTTTATCTTTTCCTACTCCCAGCCAGTGTCTTGGGTCTTAACTGTCCACATTAAAGTAGGTGAGTCTCTGGTGGGCAGGTGCAAGCCAGCAGTCCGAGGTGGAATCAGTGGGCGATGCAGGCTAAGAACATAGCCTGGTGTGTGGAAATAGGGTGTCTGAAACCTTACAGTGAACCCATTTTACCTGCTTGCTGGAGGCACTTGCATGGTGTAGAAGGGGAAGATGTTTAAGGCTGTAAGTAGATTTGGTGAGCAGTTGATATGGAGCATAAGGAGCAGGACAGACTGGTTTCACCATGGCAAATGTTGGATGCCAATATCATTCTAAGAGGATTTTTGTTTCTCTTGGTTGTGGGGCTTGACCTCTAGGCCTGGGTTCCGTAAGCTCAAGACTAGCTTGCACCCTATCACTTTGAATGACAGTGCACTTCTGGTTTTCTGGTAGTTAATTGGAGATAAGAGTCTCATGGACTTTGCTGCCTGGGGCTGGCTTTGAACCATGATCCTCAGATCTCAGCCTCCTGAGTAGCTAAGATTATAGGTGTGAGCCACTGGTACCTGGCCGGAATTTTTTTATTGTTCTTATAAAGGTGATATATAGAAGGGTTACCATTTCATAAGTCAGATAATGAGTACATTTCTTTCTGGACAGTGTCATTCTTTCATTCACTCCTATTTTCTCAGATATACTGTTTAAATTATGTGAATATATCCATCTTATTCTCTGTGTGTTACAAAAGCATAAGGACATAAAACCATCCACATTCCCATAACATTGTATCTACTATTAAGATTTGGAAGTGTCATCTTTTAGCTTACTTATATTGTTACATATGTGAAACTGTATTGTATGACAAAGTTGCATTCTGTTTTCATCAATTAACCTTAGATATATTAATGCCAAGGTATTAATCACCTGGAGCAACTGGATATGGTTGGTACCTGCCTAAGGAGGTAGAAGGATTGCAAGTTCAAGACTAGCCTGTCTATATAGCTAGACCCTGTCCCCCTCCCCCCAAAAAAGCAAAAAAAAAAAAAAAGAAAAAACCCTTCTAAAATTTATTATATTTAAGTAGTTATACTAAAAGATTTAATTCAGCATCCCAGTTTATGAGTACATTGCATCTTGATCAGTGTCTTGTTTCATTATTTTCCCTCTTCTCTTCTCCCTCCCCTCCCTCCTTCTTTCCTGCTTTCCTTCCTCCCTCAGTCTTCCTCAGACTCTCCTCTTGTCCACCAGGCCCAGCTTCTCCATTATATTCTAGTGCCTGGCTCATGATGTGTGCTCTCTTAGTGTTAGTCACTTCTGACACTCTGGGTCCATTTCACTACTGGCCCCACCTCCAGCCCAGAATGGGTTTTGTTTTGTTTCAACTAATGGAGACTTAGATCACCGTGAGCAAGAGGGGCTGATTGATGATAATAGCTGGTGGTGAGAAACAGCTTTCTTGACAAATGTCTGCCTGTCTCTTAAGACCCCTTCGGTCTCAGCATTGTACCTGAGATTTGACAGGAAGCTGTGAAAGGAAATGTCCAGGGCTGGGGAGGTGGCTCAGCGGTAGAGCGCTTGCCTTGCATGCCTGAGGCCCTGGGTTCGATTCCTCAGCACCACATAAGCAAAAAGAAAAAAAGCCGGAAGTGGTGCTGTGGCTCAAGTGGTAGAGTGCTAGCTTTGAGCTGAAGAGCTGAGGGACAGCGCCCAGGCCCAGAGTTCAGGCCCCACAACTGGACCCCCCCCCAAAAAAAAGGAGATGTCCAGAGCCATTGCAGGCGCCCGTGCTTGGGGAGCGTGTGTGTCGAGGCTCTGCTGGCCTCGGTGTCATGCTGCAGCTTGTCCTCTTGTCTCATACTCTGGGGCTCCTTCCCGGCCTCCACAGCTGCTCTGCCACTGTTGCACTGAGCCATGTTCTGTAGCATCACCTGTCTTCACTTGGAACTACGCTGTAAGACTCCTTCAAAGCCAAGAGAGCCCAGGGGGCTGAAAATCTGCCATTTTTCATGAGATTTTATCAAAGCTGTGGAGCTGATATTTGGCTTGAGGTTTGTTTGAGGCCCATAGAAGCAGAGAAGTATGTGTTAATACATGATTTGTGCCAAGTTTAGGAGGTCTGAACTGATTTGTATTAACATCTTACAACTCAACTATGGAAATTCTCTTCCCTTTAGGGCTGGGCTTAAAAATGAAGACAATATAATGTTCTTTTAGCTTGTTTTTATTTGCCTTTCTACTTGATAGCATCTTTCTTGAACACTTGAAATCTGGTTTGACTAATGCCAGTCCTGGTTTATACCATTCTCTGCCACGGACCGTGTCCCAGATGGGCTTTCTCTAGCCCTTGTCTCATTTTCTCATTTTCTTGTGTTCTTCCTCTTTTCTCAGAGATAGGGTCCTGTTGTCTGTTTGCTTGCTTCAGAGCCCAATTCATCTGGAGCTCCAGATACTAATGCCAACAATAATTTTTCAAGTTTGGTTTTCCTCTGAAATATAATTTAATCTCAGGTTAATTCTTATAATGAATGCCTTTGACAACTTTGTAGTCTCCAGCAGGAGTCCAAGTCCCCTGTGGCACTATCTTGAAACTTAGCCCTGTGGTTAATAGTGGTGCTTCTGGGCATGCCCCCATCTCACCTCCAGCAGCGGGGGCCCTGGACCATGTGTGCCTGCATGTTTGATGTGCAGATGTATAAGCTTGAGGGGAAAATGTCTGAAGAAAACAGTTTTATTTATTTAGAA